TATATATACACACACACAGAGTGTCTAATAATTAATGATAAAACTTCCGCTTAGTGGCAGCATGGACTAAACTGAGTAGAAAAATCCTTTGCAATTTTGATAATAATAGTTGATAATAGTTAACAAGATATTAATTACTAAAAATTGCCGAATATTGGTCTTTAATAATTTTTTACTCAAATACTATCAACTTTAGAAGAACAGCAAAAAATAAAAATTATTTATTTTCTTCTCATAGAGCTCTAAGAATGTTTTCGGAATTTTTTATCAACTTAGTATTGTATTTTTTTATCGGCAATTATTTTTACCAACATGAGAAAATACGGTATTAAAATTTCTGAAAAAATTCTTTTTTCGCAATAAGAAAAAAGGGAAATTTTACAAGAAAAAAAAAAATAATTTTTGTCTCTTGTTGTTTTGTTATAAAGTTGATAATACTTGAGTAAAAAATTATTAAAAACTAATATTCGGTGATATTTAGTAATTGATTTTGTTAATTATATTATTTATTAATTGATATTTAGTAATTGATCTTGTTAACTATAATGAAAATTGTAAAATGGTAAAGAATTTTTTGATTCAGTTTAGTCTTTGTGCTTTATCTCTATACGAGAATTTTATCATTACTTATCAAACATCTTGTATATAAATATACAAGGTGTTCAGTTTAAAGCTTCCACACGATTTTTCAGACACTTTTGACAGTTAAAAAGAAGATTGAAGACTGAGTATTCATTTGTTTTATTAGGCTAACATACGATAAAAGAATTTTAAAAAAAATCTATTTTCATTAAAAAATCAAAGTCATTTAAAATTTTTTAAATAGATACAATTTTTAAATAAATACAATTTTTTTCCCATAACATTGTAAAAGTCTACAAGACAAATTTAAATCACTATCGAAATGTCAATAAAACATATAAATATTCATCTTTTAACTTTTTTTTAACTCAGAAGTACCTATTTGAAAAATCGTGCGGACCATTACGCTATATATACAGGATGGATAGTAATTCTGTCCACTTAGAATATTTCCGTTATTTTTAAAAATACGAAATAATTTATTGAAGTTGTATATATTGTCGATATAGTATCGTATTATAATAACCATGCACACAGAAATTTGCTCAAAATTATCGTTTATGATTTTTTTAATGTTATGCTACTATGGTACGCCATCTTATGACGTATATTATATTCTGCATTTTATTGTACATATATGTATCAACTACGTGTTTGATATCCATATATTTAAATATGTACAATATATCTGCTACATATTACGTACGTATTTTGTCTTTGATATGCGCAATATATCTGCTATTTATTACATATATATTAAGGAGGTTGTAAGGCAAATGCAATATATTAAGAATTATTTGAAAAAATTACAGATATTCTAAATTGCATTTAAAAGTAATACAAAAAAATTCGAGATAGTTTACCATCTGGATCAAAAGTTCTAAAAAAAGTTTCTATAAAAAATAACATTTTTTTTCAATTTAGAATAAAAAAATATATATAAAATATAGGACTTCTTATAATTATGAAATATTTAAGGAGGCTAATTTAAAGTCAGCGCGGTAAGAAGTTACGCAATTTATACTTATATATTAATAATATTGTATATTAAAAGCTATTTGAACGTTTCAGTTATCGGTTTTAGCCATCTTCAGCAAATATATAATTAATATACTAGCAGAAAATATCTTCTTATCTTTGAAAATGTAAGATGTCATCAACCTTCTATCTAGTCGGAAAGTAAGAAAAGCACAAACATCGTACAAAGAAGTTGCCTGTCTTCTTGGTTAACAAGTAATTGTGTTCTAATAATGTTAAATTAAGAGTTAAAATTATATAAAAATAATGTTGAAATTATACAAAGAGAATGCTTACCTCAATCTCCATATAATACTACAATTAAGTATAATTCAGAAATCATAAATATAAAACAACAAACAAATGATTTCAATCTTCAAAAAGACACAGATGGTTTAGATCGTACATATAATGACATTCTTAATAAATATAAATAAATATAGATTTAACTTACACAATGACAACATCGTCCCTTTCAGTCTTAAAAATATCTTGTTTATTACATTCTTAGACATGAAACAGTTATAAACATTCGATACATTTTGACGATTTCTAAGTTTCATCACAACATGTTTTATACAAATCTTTTTCATGTATTGTATTATACTTAATTGTATTATATGGAGATTGAGATAAGCACTTTCTTTGTACAATTTCAACGTTATTTTTACGTAATTTTAACTCTTAATTTAACATTATTAAAACGCAATCACTTGTTAATCAAGAAGGCAATTTCTTTGTGCGATGTTTGTGCTTTCCTCACTTTCTGATTAGATAGAAAGTTGATAACATATTTTCAAATATAAGGAGATATTCTCTGCTAGTATATTAATTATGTATTGCTGAAGATGGCTAAAACCGATAGCCGAAACGTTCAAACTAATATCTTTTAATACACACTATTAATGATTATATAAGTATAAATTGCGCATTTCTTACCGCGCTGACTCCAAATTAGTCCCCTTAAATCTATTATTTTACAATATTTTTTCAATTCGTACTCTAATAGAAATATATGAAAATGTATTATAAAAAATCTCAAATCTCTTTTTTATAAATACTTTATGAATTCAAAAATATTTATGTAAAATTACATTGAGATGCAAACATTAAGTGTTCAGTAAATAAACAAAATATTTATTTGTTATAAATTAAGTGAATTTCAATAAACTTTGCATAAGTCATTTTTACAATAGTAAGTAATTTTTACATAGTACTTAAAATATTTATATAAAAAAATGTATATTTTTGTTATTATTATTAAAATTTTTATTTATAATAATAAAACTAATATCAAATAAAATAAATAATCTATAAAAATGTTGCTCAGTAAAAACAGAATGTTATGAACAACTTTCACATGTATATAGTTTGTTTAATGCGTAAATATTAATATATATTTTATGCCTTTACAACCTCCTTAAGGTATATATTTCGACTCGGATATTTCACATTCGTTGCGTTAATTATATATTTAATATGAATTAATATTATATTTGATATGAAATGAAACGCAATGTAAATGCAATATAGATACGTATTTAATATATATTTGCAATGAAAAATGCTGTGCGGATATACATATAGGACGGTTCTTATACAATACAATAACAAATAAAAATCGATTTTATTTATTTTAAGCTGAATAAACGCAATTTTAATTTGTTTAAAAAATTGTTGTCCACATTATTCCAAGACATAATAGATTTTTAAATGTTATTTAAGACGTTATAGTACTGTATATTGCCATATTATGAATTATGTTGGAAATATTTTTAAGCAATTTTCATAAAGTTGAACATATTGTATTCAGCAATATTTTCAATTTTAAAGTTATAGTAATTTCACAATCTATGATAAATAAATTAATTGATAATATACAGAATAGATATAATATTATAAAGCTCATGATAGCCCAATTAAATATTAATAATGTATTATGTTATAATTGCATTTTTATTGATTTAAATTTCTGTAATATCATAAACAAATGAAATGAGTAAAATACGTTTTAAAAAAACTATTTCTTTTATATATTATGTTTTTCACAATAAATCTTCTTACATGTATGTTATTGTTTCTTTAAAAATAGCATTTATATCTTCAGAAGATAAAATATAAAAATCAGGTATTTTTCTTTTTTTTGGCTAGTTACTAGCATATACTTTATTTTGTATGTGTATGTGGGTATTAGTAGTTCGCATGTGTACTTACATACATTCATAGAATTTATTCGCTTAAAAGTTTATTAATTAATTATTTTTGCGTCACGACAGGACCCTCAGGACTTATCTTTTTCTGCTTAATTTTTAATTATTTTGATGAATTTTTTAACATTAAGTATCGGTTTTTTGTTTTCATAGAATCCATAAAATATTAATAGAATATTTCAAAAAAGTAGTAAAAAAGTAGTAAAAAAAAGACAATCATAAATTTTTATTTGCCATAATTGCTATAACTGAACAAGTAATCAAAATTTATGCTTTTTTGGAAAAAAAATGCATTTTCTATTAAATTATCAATATCAATTATTTAGGCATTCATTCAAAACATCCTAAAATATTTTTTCAGAATTTTTCAGATTTTTTCATTGTATTGTTTTTTTTATTAAAAACTTTTTGAAAAATAAAAAAAAACCATATTTTTCTACTTAAATCCAAATAAATAATTCAAATATCTCCTGTAATTGTGTTCTAAAGAGTTTTTGGATTATTGAATTAAGACAAAATTTCCAAATTTTAAAATCCAAAATAGCGGAATTGATAACGATATGGATAAAAAACGTATAAAGAAATAATCTTATTATTTAAAAATTTCTGGATATTTTAATAGCTGCATCTGAATCTGAAGCGAAGATTTTCAAACATCGAAAATAGCAACATTGAAATGAAAGATAAAATGAAAGATAAAAGACAGACTTCACAGCTGACTCGACTACTCATAGCGGACGAATCACTGCCGTTGCCACTGCGCTGATCGCGTACGTAAGGCTTAGAAGCATCCCAATATCAGAAAAATATTGGAATCGTATCTTCTATTATTATTAGAATCTATTTTTTATGAAATAATTTATTTTTATAAATAATAGAATAACTAAATATTTCACTCAAAGTTATTTGAATTATTGATCTGCTATATTGGATCAGCCATTTTGATTAAAAAATTTTGATTTCTGATTTGTAATCAGTGGCCCGAAAAACCCCCGGGTATAAAGTTAAAAAAAAATTTTGATACAAAAATTCGTAATACAAAGAGTTAATATCTTTACATTCTACTTTACTTTTTTGTATACAACAAGATGATTTTACAACGATTTACGTATGTATTAATTTTGAGATAATGCAAAACTTCACGATTAATTTATCGATTTGCGAATATTTTGTCATGTCGGCGTGCCGACGTGCTGCTTTCTAATAACCTACGAAACTCACTTTCAATTTTTAACCGCGATGTTAACTGCTACAAGATCATGTGACATAACAGATGCCGAATTAATATAGTTGCGTAATCATTCGAGTTAAAAATATTTAAATAAAGATTGTTAAATGCGCATTTTTATATGTGTTGTTTGTTATTTATTACATATATTCTGAAATCGTTAAATATTCTTTCCAAAATAGATTTAAATTTTAGTCAATTTGATAAATCGTTAAGTATTCTTTCCAAAATAGATTTAAATTTTAGTCAATTTGATAAATTTTTTGTAAAAGTTGAATCTTTGATTTTTACATCCTTCAGCCCCTGCATACATTGTAATATAATTAAATTTAAAAACATTATCCGTTGAAACTATTTAATTCTACCGACACGATCCATTTGAGATCTGATGTACATAATAATAATGTATATATTGGAAAAATAGTTCAAATTAAAAAAAAATTAATTATTTAGTATGAATTACTTATTAAAGTGCTTATAAACTGAATTAAAAAAATTTTTTCAACATGATTCCAATAAAATCAAATCTGAAAGTCTTAAACAGAACTCGCTTTAATAGAATTTTAATTTGGAGATTCTTACTCTTTCGAGTTTTAAAATTAAATAATTTATTGATTATAATTCCATTTTTGTTTCATCAATGTGACTATATGTTTTTAGTTATAGTCTCTTAGTTGATGTAATTACAATTTTCTAATCGCAATTACATTAATCAAGAGACTATAATTAAAAAGACATAGTCATATTTATGGAATAGAAACGTCTGCAATTAACAGCAGACATCTCATTGAAGTAACTAATGTAATTAATAAAAATCTGATAGTTTGTTATTGACAAATGAAGAGAAAAGATGGCAATGAATTTATTTCTTGAAAATTCCTTTATTAGATTTCTGAAATCATATCAATATGCGCGCAGAATAAGCTCATGTTTCGCATGCTGCGATTCAATTACAATCAACGAGCAATAAACCGTAAATTTTTCTTACATGATGAAGGCAGACGGTAAATATTCCAGTCTTGCTGCAGAATTAATTGACTTTCACTATATAAATCTTCTTACCATCGACGTATTGTATTGTATTTTCCATTGCATGTTTCTAATATGGATCATTAAATCTGATTTTTGCCTTAATTATCTTAATAATACTATAATTATAAAAAATAGATTGAAAGAAATAGAATCGCAAATTCGTATCGCGAGATGACCAATATACATTATTCATACTCTTCCGAATTTTCAAATTAAAATTTTATTGATTATAATTCCATTTCTATTCCACAAATGTGACTATATATTTTTAATTATAGTCTCTTAGTTGATGTAATTACAATTTTCTAATTACAATTATATTAACCAAGAGCCACTATAATTAAAAATAGTCATATTTATGGAATAGAAACATCTACAATCAATAGCAGACATCTCATTGAAGCAACTCATATAAATATCAATCTAACATATTATATAACATTTATATTACTAGGCAAGTGTGCGTTGCTCGCGTACTAACTTTCAATGTAAAGAACGTCTGTAGATGATATGGCCAATGTATGCCAACATTAGCACATAAATATCATATATGACATATATAATTATCCATATTGAAAGTAGTCAACATTTAGCGAATGTGTGCAAAGTTGGCTTATACATTGGCCATACTGTCTATAGGCACCTTTAAATACAAAAAGTATACAAATATATAAGTATTTAAGGCAGATTTACGCAGATTAATCACAATAATCGAATTTTTATGAGAACAGTTGTCAGAACATCTTGTGTTCATTACTCTTACAGTATGAAATGAGCAAAGCGAAAGAATTAACCGAATCGTGGAAAAGAGGCAATAATTCAATTATTGCGATTTAACTCGCAAATTTTATTATAGGAAGAAGAGAAAGAATATTTTATAACATTTAATTTATTGAACTAAATTTTGAATGAAATTAAAAATTAACTCATCATAAAATTATATTTTATTCTCAAATAATTTAATTTTATTAAAAATGAAAATTATTTAATAAAAAATAGATATATAATACAAAATAAGATTACATACGAAAAGGTTTAATCATATAATAACTCAAAATACATTGCAACAAATTTTGATCTATTTTTTATTTTTCAACAAGTAATGAGTATTTCTTACACTGAGGGATTTTTACACTGAGAAAAAGAATATAATTTTTTAAAAATTTCATCATTTTTCCATTTTTTATAAATTCTGTTTTGAATTAATAGAATAATTTTGTAATATAACTATAGATATAATTATAAGGAATTTAAATATGTTTTATAATATGAAAATAAATGATAATATGAAATCCCTTTTATTGTTAACAATTTTAAATGATATATTAAAATAATAAAATTTATTAGTAACATTTAATGTTAAAACATTACATTAATATGCAACATTTCTGTTTCTTAACATTTGAATAATTCTTATGTATCTATATTATTTTATTAAAATAAAAAAAGGAAAGTTGTAAATTGTAAATTTGTAGAATAAATTTTCAAAAATAAAATTTTTCATTTCTTAAAATCTATGATGAAACTTTTTTAACTTTATTTTCTTTTTTAGTAGCTACAAATATATAAAAACCATTCAAATATTGAGAAAAACAGGAACGTTGTAACACGATATAACAAAAAATGTAACATATTCTTACTTATTGATCATTGTTCCACACGAAAAATTGAGTTTATAGTCATATAAGCAGAAGTACGAGAAGAAAAACAAATATTTAAAAAAAAATGATTTAGACACAAAAATACACACCTGTGTTTACACAATGCAAGACACACTTTGCGGAAAGTAGTGTCTTAGCAGTACTATGGTCGTCGGTATACTGAATGGAATGCGTTGCTTCGACTGTGCCTTCACCTCGAAATGATCGTCGAATCAGCGAGACGCAGGTCGTTGCGAAAATCACATGCATGTATCCAAGATCCTCATATTCTCGCATGTACGTTACACACTACTTGTATCGCCCGCAAATGAATGTACGGCATGAAAATAATTCTCCATTGATAAGTCAATACTTATAAGAATTTTATTGATAGTAACAGAATGTACACAATGAATGTACACAAAATTCTTTATGAAATATTTTATAAAATAAAATAATTTAACTGTAATATTCAAACATTGATGCATGAGATATTTTTCCATAATATACGTTTTATGTAATTAATTTATATGATATCAACATATATAGTACTTGTATTATCTTAAATTAAATATTTATGATATAAAGAAAACATCTTATAATTTCAAAAACTTAAAATTTCTTATCCAAATTTATTTATAGTTATACGAAATTAACAGTTCTATTTACTGAAATTTAATCATCAATATGATTCGAACGAGGGACACTATTTTTTAAAAATAATTCATATTTTTTAATAAGTTTAATAGATATCTATTATATGGTGTGCGGCAACATTATGTAATGACCATGTACACGCAGATAGAGTGCAAATCAGTGTATCTTTTACAAAAATAAGTAGCAAAATAATATTTCTTATACAAATTTTTTGTTTTCAAAACAATTGATTTTTTAAAAATCCATTATTATTTACTTTTATTTACTTTTTGAAACAAGGTACAAGAAAGGCATTAAATAAAGGTGTACTTCCTTTCAGGTCTAAACTTTTTTGAAAAATGGGATATACAGGATATCCCAGAACAAACATTTGTCCTTAAAATCATATTCCTGACTTATTGCTAAAACGATTCTTCCGTTATCAAAATTTTTCCGATACTTAGTTTTTAAATTATAAGGAAAAATATTTAATTAGAACGGAACGCGTTCGGAAGGTAAGCAGAGGTAGCGCAACTCATCATTTGATACGGGTGCTCACTGCGATCAATTACTACGCGAGACGCGTAATACGATGGTATACGTGAACAAGCAAGATACATATATTTTGTGTTTGTATTTGTAATACAAAATACAAAATGTCAATCTTAGTAACTACTCTAAATGAACTATGAGCAGATTACATTACAAAGCCGCTATTCACGTCTAGATGGCTCTAGCTGTATATGCTACGCTCTAAGGCACTACCCAATCAGAAATAATTTCGAAAAGACATCATTTCGATGTCGAAAATAAAAATCGAAAGTTTTCGAAATTTCTATTGATTTCGACGAATTTTTGGCTCCAATTTTGATTAATTTTCGAGTTGGAAATAAAATCTTGGATTAATTTAGTCAGCACACAAATATACTATTAATGTCACTAGTATCATTAATGCAATAAGTAAATTCGACAAGTAGTGTGACTAATAGCGTAATAGTGGTGGAAAAAATTCATTAATTAAAGTTTCATTGAAATTTTATTGTGAAAATAAATATTATTGATTAGCATCATATTTCAGAGGATACACGACAAAATTATAATAAAAAAAAAATTTACTTTATGAATTTGAGAACTAATTTTATGATGCACATATGCGCGGTCCCCATCCGAATCTGAACATCCATATATTATGCTTCATTTCTGTGATCGTACGAGAATTGCTCCTTTGAAGAACACCTATAATATAATGCTGGATGTATAATTGTAACATATCTGTTCAAAGATGATGTGAAAGAGGTGTACACATAAAAAAATTATAATTAATATTAAATATAGTAATGTACAAATGATGATATCTATGATAATAACTTGTTTTTAATAATATTGTAAAATATTGGGAGTACAAATAAGTTTCCGCCGTTTTTTATCAAAAATTAAGCATTTATTATGAAAGAACGGTACATAATGTTTTATTCAAAGTAATGGCCATCGCTAGCCTCTACTTTTTCCCATCTTTTTGGTAGCATGTGGATGTATCGGAAGAACGCTTTATCTTTTGAGGCTATCCAATCATCGATATATTACAATATAATTTTTGGTATCTTCATATGATGTGAAGTGCTGCTCAGACAGGCTATGCGTCATCGATCGGAACAAGTGGTAGTCGGAAGGAGCAATGTCTGGAGAATACGGCGGGTGGGATAGAATTTCCCATTTGAGTGTTTCTAAGTAGGTTTTGACCAGCGCCGCAACATGTGGTCGAGCATTATGATGCAGGAGAATAATTTTGTCATGCCTGGAGTAGTGGGCGCGTTTTTCCTTGAGTGCTCGGCTCAATCTCATCAATTGTGTTCGGTAGAGAGCCGCAGTAATGGTCTCGTTCGGTTTGAGCAACTCATAATACACGACACCAAGCTGATTCCACCAAATACAGAACATTTTTTTTTCCATGAATATTCGGCTTGGCTATCGATGTTGGCCAGGTGGTCCCCATGATTTCCTCTTCTTTGGGTTATAGTAGTGGATCCATTTTTCATCACCAGTGACTATACGATGCAAAAAACCCTTTCGTTTATGCCTAGCAAGCAGCATTTCACATGTGAAAAATCGACGTTTCAACGTTTCTGGACTTCAGTTCATATGGAACCCAATTCCCTTGCTTGTGAATCATTCCCAATGATTTCAAACGATAATTGTTTGTTGAGTCACTCCTAATGTAAGTGCAAGTTCTTTTTGCGTTTGGCACGAATCTTCATCCAATAATGCTTCCAATTTCGCGTTTTCGTACACTTTCGACCTTTCGCTACGTTCTTTGTTTTCGACGTCAAATTCATCGTTCTTAAACTTTTGAAACCACTCACGACAATTTCTCTCGCTTAAGGCAGCATCACCATATGCTTCTACAAGCAATCTATGAGCTTCAGCTGCAGATTTCTTCAAATTAAAGAAGTAAATCAAAAGTTCCCGCAAATGACGCTTATTCGGCTCAAAAACTCGACATTTTCGTACAAAAAAAAATATATGATGCTGATACAAAATCGCTAATATTTCAAGGTTATGTTGCCGGATGTCCGATTTTACAATATATCGTTTTACATCAAACAATTTTAACTATAGTTTATTAGTGGCGCCGTCTTTTGCAAACGGCGGAAACTTATTTGTACTCCCAATTTTATTATTTTTATTAGCTGAAATAATACTAATTGCTCTAAATAATATGTGTGTGTGTGTGTGTGTGTGTGTGTGTGTGTGTATTTATTACTCTAATAAATTTTTTATACCAAATATTATAATTATTGAAAGTAGTTCTACATTACGTCATATGTCGTCATATAGTACTACAATATAACACTACTGTCAGCATGGATGGACACTATTGCGTATCAGTAGTAATACTGTAATAGCAGTGACACTAGTAGTATTTTTATACTTCCAATGATATTGAAACTTGTATAATAGACCAACATTTAAATTTCATTAATTTAAAAATTGAGATCGTTTCGATATCGATTCGATTTAGAATTAATCTATAATAGCTAAACTTAGAGTCGATGATATTTTTTCTTGATTTTCTACTCATTTATGAGAGACAGCTAATAGATTATCAATATTTATGGTAAGAGACATTATTCCTTGAAATTCCTCAATATAAAAGTGATATATATATATATTAAGATTATATTAAATAAACTACGAAGTACAAATAAAAGTAATGTTATTCAGCAGGAGTAGAAATATAATAAAATAAGAACAAAAACTCTAGAAGAAAAGATATAGACTTTATCAATAGTTGTCAAAAATTTCTGATTCGTATAAAAAAATTTCATAATTTTCTAAAAAGTTATAAAATTATTTATAAATTCTGAAAAATTTTGAGAAAGCTTTTATGATTAGAACGATATTGCAATTGTCAAAATAAAATCGAAAAAAATGTCGATTTGACCTTTAAACAAAAATATTCAAAATATAAGATTACATATCACATATTTATACCAAAAATATTAAAAATGTATCAAACTCTTATTGCACTCTCTACATATGTAATTTTTTATCACTCAAAAATGTTAAAATTTCGATGCAAGTTTCAAATCAACAACTTTTCCATCGTAATGACGTTTTTTCAAGGAACTATTTCTGACTGGTAGATATATAGGTAAAGTAGATATATAGGGTAGATATATAGGTAATGTAGATATTCTCCGCTATTGGTTTTTCTTGATTAATAAATTATAGGATACGATCCACTTCACGCAAATGCTTTGAAGTATCCTTTGATTAGAGTCCTATATATGATATGAGAGAAGCGACATCCCCACACCTCTAGCATATGTTCAGCACCGTCATGTCCGCTCCAGTTGATCAATTCATCCGTCATACTCCATTTTCTCTATTATAAGAATCATGAACTCTGTCAGGATGAGGTTAAGCAAGTATTTTTGTGTTTTCTTGTTGAATAATGTAGCGATTAAGTGTAATGCAATTACAAATGTTACATAAAAAGGTAAATGATATATTATATACTTTAGATATGTGTATGTACTAGACAGTTATAGAAAAGAAACATGTGATAGTTCTCTACTATAAGTACAATGACTACTTTAATTAGGTATGAGGTCACTAATCAGAAATCGCGACGTCGATGTCGCTTCTATCATATATAGTTTTTGATTGATTAATTCGTAGCAATTCTTTCTTCTGATTGGTCAATAAAATATAATTTGCAACGTTAAGTGGATCACATCATATTTAGTGACAAAGGTAAATGTTAAGAAGAGTCCAAATTTTAATAAAAATACACTGAATCAATACGTTTTCATGTAAAAATAAAGATTTGACAAGAAAAAAATGTCGCTATGCTTCGCGAACCGAGATATTAATCCTTAAAGTCGACGACTATTCGGATTAGAAAATCTGTCATAACAATGGTTCACTATTGTATTGTATGTATTTTTCACTAAGTATGTGTTCACTATATATATTTTTAAAAATATAAATTCTCTACTAAAGTAATGAATTTGTATTTTAAAACTATGATGAGTTTGTGTTTTTAATGCAGTGAACTATTACTGTGAAAAATAAAACGCAATAAATTGTTTTTCCGATATATTGTATACTACTTCTATACTACTTCTATACTACTTTAATTTGAAAA